AAGTTAGTTGATATGAAAATAAAGTTTATTAAAAGTGAGTAATAAGGAAATCATGCAAGGTGGAGCCGTAGGATATATGAGAATAGCTGTATCCACTCCACTCACATCAGAGCTCAACAGCTCTGAGCCCAACAGGACCCACCACTGACACATACGGAGCAATTTGGCATATACAGTACACACACTGCCTCTGCTGGTCATTCAGACATCGTAATGGCTGTAAAGTCAAATTGATCATCAGTTTAGATTTTAAAAGATGATTTAAAATGTATATTTTATGGGTGTATATTCATGTATTCCATATAATTTCACTCCATCTGATTTGGTGTGTGATGCTGCTACAGAATGACAAGGCTCATTATGTATTTCCATATGTATGTGTGTATATGCCAAAGTCAGATGCTGAAAAGGTGACTGTGAAAGGTAGCCATGGGGACAGCAGCTTGCAGAGGGAGTCAGACAGCTTTAGGGTCAAGAGGACAGTGCCGTGACAGGGGACAGCAGTCCAGAGCACACCCCAAGGACCAACGGAAACAAAAACACATCAACACAAACAGATTTCACTCACAAATATATACAGACACAACCGTGTCTGAAGGACTAGAACAACACTGCACTGTGAAACAGACACTGTAGCTAGTTCACATAAACAAACTGCTGATTGGAAAGAAATGATCGTCTACGACAGTTGTCACGATTAGATTGAAATTAGAATCCTAAATTTACTGATCGAAAGTGAACACATAATTACACAAATCAAAAAAAATCTTACATTCACTGTGTTCTTGTATTTCAGAAAGACATAAAAGAAACATGAGGGTTAGAATGCAGAGAAGAATCATTAAATAACAACCCATTTTATAACGTGACTTTGTCTTATCTATCTCTTCCGGACCGCCATGTCACCGTGTCAGCTCTGAACCACCATCAAAAACATTCTTACCGGCAAGCCCTTCTCCCCTGGCTCTCCCTTTGGACCTGGTGCTCCCTGTAAAATATTAACAAGTATTTCATTTTAAACATGCTTCACATAAAAACACTAAAAAATGATTTTACTGCAGTTTACTTCAACATAAATGTGATGTGAGACTGCACTGGGGTGTGGTTTATGGTGCAGCTGGTGAATGTAGTTTATAGAGGTATAACTAAATATATGACCTGTGGCACTGCCTATATGTCTGTTCATTACAAGCCTGATCTTCAAGGTAGCATATTAAAGGGAACTTACCGGTTCTCCTCTGAAGCCCCTCTCTCCTGGGTAACCCAGAAGACCCTGACAAAGAAACAAAGGCAAAAGAGAGAACAAAATTGCTTAAGGTTTTTTAGGTCTTTTACAAAAATGATACGATTCTTAGAAAACACTCACTCTCTCCCCACGATCTCCCTTTGGTCCAAATGGACCCTGTGTTCCAGGAGTGCCAGGTTTACCCTGGAATACAGAAATACATTGAAGAATTAGCTAAAAGAACTTTTTTTAGCAACATCACATAAATGTGAGTGAGATTACATTCTGTCCTGCGGGGCCAGGGGGTCCAACTGGGCCTGGAGGACCTGGACCACCTGCATAAGAGACAAAAAAAAAAAATCACACTAACACAATGAATCTACACCAGTGGGTACCTATAGGGAAACTTTGATTGGTCTGCTGAGAAGTTTGACTTAGTTTTCATTACTTGATATTGGTACCATCCAACAAGACTTAGTAATTAAAGTATTAAAGTATAGATTTGATGAAATTACACATTGTCACGTGCTTCTGGAAAGCCTTATAGCACAGCTTAACACAATATTATATAGTATTATTATATATTAATAACATATTTTACATTTCTAGAAAATATGGCCAAATTGTCTTCTTGCAATACAAATTACCTCACCGACAACAAAAAGGCTGGCTCAGACACTAACATTTCACATGTCATCAATATATAATGAATCTTTTCACTGACAGTTTAGCAGACAGAGGGAAAAAAACTTTTTTGAGTTTTTACCACATTTTAGTCAGTTACATTTACATTTCCTTATGAACTGTAGCCACAGAAAGGCAACCTTTTCCTGGACCTCTTATGTCAGAGGTTATGTCTAGACTCTAAAGGTTTAACACATTAAAAAATACACAGCAGCTCATAATCTGGACAACATTAGAACAATCATTAGACTATCCAGGTTAGGTGCTAGCTTCTGGACTGAACCCTTTGCTGGGTACTTACACAAGGTTGTTCCGACATTATTCATAATTTGTGCAACTCCAGTGGACATTTGTGTCACACAAAGAAACCCCACAGAAAATTACATTAATTTGTTTTTAGAATTGTTTTCAATAATATTATGCTATATTGTACTATATAATATTAAAATGGCCTAATTGGATAAAAGTCTTATAAACAACAATACACACTAAAGTGCTGTGTTTAGCTGGGAATAAACAGTAAACACTCACCAACAGGTCCGGAGGGTCCGTGAGGTCCTGGAAGAGACAATCTTCGTGAGTCATGGAAAGAGTTGGTGTAGAACAGATCTTTTCCACGAGCTTGAGTTAAAGCAAAATGTTTGTTTTTAATGGGATGTAGAAGGAAAGCAGCTACAACCAGGAACAAAGGTGAACTATGTAATCGGATGTTGCAAGGTTACACATTTTACAGGTATAAGATTGTCTTAAATGTCTTAAAAGCTTACTTTTTACTTTTTAAGGTTTCTTTTTGACTGAAATACATACTTTCAATATTCTTCCACAAATAATATGTTTTACATTGGTTAAATTTACAAGTGGTAATTGTAAAAATAAAGTCTATAAAAAAGATAGAACCTGAGACTCCTTTAAGTAAATATCTAAACACACTCTGGCCAACAGGGCAGCCGCTAAAGTGAGCCTTAAATATCTGTGAAAACAAGCCTCAGCGAATTTCTAAATAAACATCGCAGTACTTTGTTTAAGCGGCCCTTAAACCTGTACCACTAGAGGGCTGTGTCTCCAACTAATTTTTATTCAATGACTTCACCAGGGTAAAAACGTCAAACTTTAGCGTAGTACGAAAGCAATGTCAGTATTAGACATTGTTTAAATATAGGCTATAGCATAACATAACTCAGTGTATTGTTGTGCAACACAGTTCGGACATACAGCAAATAAACATGTGACTACATATAAAGAAGTGATGTGTGCTCATTGGCGCGTTTTATACTGTTTTATACTGACAACACATTAATCCAATCACAGTGTGAGATATATAGTGAAAACAGAGGCACAGGAGGAGCCAGCAGCATCCTCCAGCTGCCAGGCATCAGCCCACCTCAAACAGATCGGGAACAGAGGTGACATCCAAAACAGAGCTGCTCTATTTCTCTGCACATATTTTGCAAACTTTGCACTGTGATCTGGGGCTTAGAGTGACTCTGGAAAGTCAAAAACCAAAGCTGTTAGGTGCTGTTATTGATGCTGCTGTATAAAATAATAATAATATATATATATATTACATATATATATTTTTTTTTCTGTTCTGCAGAGGATAATCTCTAGGTTGTTTTCGCAAGAAAGCTCACTGCACAGAGCGCTCGACCCTGTCCCTGGTTCCTAATGTTCCCTAGTGTTTCTTTGATGTGAAAGAAATGGCTTACGTTCATTATGCCAAACCCACATACCTACTGCATTCTCCACTTGGGAACCAACTGCTTTGAAAACCTGTGTGTGTGACATACTTAGTTTTACCACTGAGAAATTAAAAATAAAACCCAGTGATGTGTTGACCTTGAAAGAGCCGGTGCCGGCGCCCATCTGCCTCTCACACTGCCCTCAGCTGTCTGAACGATCTACATCTGGAAGTTGTTGGGTGACATCAGTGAAGGACAGGTTTGTATCCCAGCATGTGAAGTCTGTGTCAATCTCAGACCTTCTGTGCCCCCGTTTAACACTCTTTGATTCTGTTCTGCCTCGCTGACAGAAGCGAGCAGCAGTAAAAGGATCCCCGTCACTGTGTCTGGTTCTTATTGTCTTCATTTCTTTTCTTTACCATTAGTGCTGAATCTTGGGAGAGTTTCCACACAGCTTGAGAGAAGACATCAGCTGTGCTGTAAGGCCTTTGACTGCATCTACAGAACACTGGTTTAGATTGAATTTGTGTACATGAACTCTTGCTGGCTTCATGGTCAGCTGGTTTGTTTGGACATGGTATCCCATTTTAGCCCAGATGGAATGTTTTCCATGGATGTAGAGAACGTGGTGAAGTTCAGACTTGGGTGTACCCACTGTCTAGATGTTGGACCTTTAGAAAAAGGTCATAAATATTCCATGTGACAATTTATAAGCCCCACAGCAGCTTGCATGCATACACATAAGCACTGAATCAAGGCTGCTTATGCCACCAAGAGTTGGAAAAATGAAGTGACTTATAGGGCCCCCTATTGGTGTGTCGAAAAAACATTTAACTTACACCCTGGTCCAGGGGAAATACATCTACAAATACTATACTGTGTTAAGATAACAAGTTGCAGGGTGTCTTCATAAAGACTGTTCTTTCTTTAGGTTCTTACTTTGGTCTGGTTCTGGGATGCGGGCACTAGCAGGTGCCGGAGGTCCTGGTGGCCCAGGTGGGCCTGGTGGACCCTTGTCTCCTGGGAGTCCTGGTGGACCACGGGGTCCTAAGAGAAAGAATAACAGAAACGATACTGTGGTGACCACGCATCAGTGTATTTTCTCCTCTGTAAATCAATGGCAGAGTAGATGGAGCAGCAGTGACGATAAAATAAAGACTAGATGGAATAAACTGTGAGGAAAACAGAATAGAATTAAGATTAGATAAACTGCTTATTGACTCATCATAATACTAACTGGTAGTATGAACATACTGTATGTGGAGTAAAAACAGCAGCTGGACCGATGTGGCCTGTATTCACATTTCCTGCAAACATTCCCTGTAATTAACAGTAGGTGGGTCTTTAATGGCCCAGTACTGAGGGACTCTGGGACACAGGAAAACTCATATAAACACCATTACACTCTGCAAAGTGTTACTGGCATCGCTTCATGGTGAATTAAATACTCCCTCAATACATGTTGCTTGCTTTCATACATGTGTTTGATCCAGCGACTGCCTGTAGACGGTCCAGGGTAAGAAATATGGGCCAGTAAGTGAAAGCGTTCTGCCTTCACCACACGGATATTTTTTTAAACATAGAAAATAAATAATAATAAAAGCCCCTCCACAAATCCACCTAACCTCATGTTTGGACTCCCCTTAGGTAGTGCCCCCCCTGAAACCCAGTCTTTCCACCTCAGACAGATGCGCTGTCATCTTTGTGAGTGACGGTCAGCTAATCACTCCTTTGCACTGTAATGTTATTACAGCTCTGATTTGACACAGGCCATTTTCACTGAGCCTCAATAAAAACTGCAGCATGACCAGCTGTGTTTCGGCTGCTTTGGAAAGACTGTACACTTCAATCTGCGGAAACGTGGCTCAAATGACCAGTTAAAGTGGTTCTGTGGAGTGTATCGGACATATTGGGGAAAACAGTTTTTCCTGCAGAATAATAGTTCCCTGGAGCAGCTCGGGGATGCCCTATTAAAATAAGAATCACATAGTGTAATACTACTCTCCTGTAACTTATCAGGACTCATCACCATGCACTGTGTTGCTTCTCCTAATATCAAAAGTTAGTTCTACAATCTTTCCCATGACCCCAGACTCAGAAACATATTTGTCTACATCTTGCCTGTCACTGGACACAGTCCAACCCTGTGTTTATCTTTCTTTTGAAAAAGAAAAAGAAAAAAAAATCAGCCTAACAAGGAAAACATGGCCCTGGCTTTGGGTACTTATGAGGTAATGGAGATAGAAAAAACAATAACACCACTGGCATATGGAAATCATAAAGACCTGGGCTTTGTGTATATATAGCTCATGTTCATTTTCAGATTGAAGTCACATGGCTGGGGGTTTGTAGTCAAACATTTGTGCTAAATTTCATCCAGCAGCAGGCACAGAGCAGGGGTCACTGTATATCCTGCCTAAGAGGAAAGGCACTCCCTCCATCCACAGGAAAGAAATAACAAGTCAACACCACAGAGCAGCAGTGACAAAAGTGTGGTCACTTAGAAAACCACATCTGCAGACAAGGTGGTACACCTTCAAAAAAATGCAGTAAAAATGTCATTTAAAACTTTGACTTTATAGATGCCCCTCCACATCAGCACACATCTTGGACTGAGCATCTTTTGTTGATAACAGTCTGGATGGTCGTTTCCTTCTCTAGTATAGCCAATATATCATCCATCCATCCATTTTCATCCGCTTATCTGTTACCGGATAGGGGGGGGCGGCAGTCACCGCCCAAATCACATTGCACCGCACCGCACCCCCCCCATCCTGCAGGTGGTGAGTCCACTGGAAGGTACCAATTGCCCTAACTGGGATTCAGACTTGCCCAGGAGGTGAACCCTGGGGTTCCACACCAATGACAGAGACATTGCCTCTGGGCCAAAGCGCCACGCCAATATATCATTATAATCCAATGTCAGATTGCTGATTCCAAATCTGTGCTTTTCTGACAGCAGCAAACCATTGTATCATGTGATCCCTGTCAGATGAGCTCTGACCCAGAAGACATGTCAGGGCTTCTGCAAAAATATATGTATGAATACTTCCTTTCATGATACAGTCTCATTGAATACTTATACAATACAAAAAGACTGAGAAACAGTAATCTCCTGACGACATACAGGTCTCATCGAGTATTGATTAACATGAACATCAAACTTAACTTGTTAACCTGATTATTGAGCAACCTAAGCTTGAGAATGTACCTTGTGTGACTTTAATTTTTTTGCCCCTCTGTCTATATATAATTTTATAGTTTGTGGAAGAAGTTTTTTTCTACAGTTTTCAGTTAGTGTTTTCTGTCCTTTTGCCCGTTAAATAGACGTTGAGTTAAAATACTGAAGTCCAGTTTTATTGTTTTTATTGCATTATTTTTTCAGCAAACCCACTTCTCCGGAAATAGGAATTTGTCAAACCAGTATTCATCTTTACGTGTTCTGGCTGCTAACCTGGTGCAGCACATGTCGGCGCGGTTGTACATACGTAATCAAATGCTTCAGCTGCCCAATAAAGAAGCACTTTCGGAAATGTGATTTTCGAAAACTCAACGACAAACAAAGTGGATGAATTCCAGTAAGTTACGGGCCACAACAGTGTGACCACAGGAGGGTCTGTGGGTTTGCTGAGAACTTTGCGAGAAAGACAGAGTGGAGCAGGACAGCTTTTTTTGAGTAAAATTGCTCTAATTCACCCATAAGTATTTCAAAAGAATTGTTTGGTTTCCCATTCCACAGTCTCTTTCTACAGAATGGTAAAAATAAAGTGGTTTAAACCAGGGTTCAACCCTCACTGCAACGAGGCACACATTCTCACCTCATCTTATAAACACACAACACCATTATCCATTAAAAAAGGTTTTTGCCCTCTGCTGTCGCTCATCTTTTACCTGTTGGTCCGGCAGATCCCTTCGATCCAGGAACTCCAGATGGACCCCTCACGCCGGCCTCCCCCTGAGGCCCGCTGGGACCTGGCAGCCCCCGAGACCCCGGCTTCCCTAAGAGAAGGAAACAGTCATTGAGTAATCGCAGAAGTTAACTGGTTTGAATTGTTTTACACTGACTGAAATGCAACAGTAATTACAACAATAATTACTATTTACCATCTCGGCCATCTCTCCCATTTTCACCCTGAGGGCCTGCAGGGAAAACACACAGACAGCTTAGTTGTGAGATGCAGTCCTGGGAATTAAGTCTGGGATCACAGTACCCGAAGAAAAGAGAGTGTAAAACTTGAGGGATGAAGTTAAACTCTGACTTACAGTATGTCCAAGAAATAGAGAAAAAAAATAATTACTGTGTTTATGAATTCATTAAAGCATATTTAAATGTCTGTTCCAGATAAATGATTCCTTACAGGATTTTGGAAATACAATGGAACCTCGAGATACAAGTGCCTCAACATACGAGTATTTTGAGATACGAGCAAGCCTTCGCGCAAATATTTGCTTCGTGATACAAGTATGACTTGAGATACAAGCACGCTTCCAGATGCCGACGCTAGTTGGCCGAAAACAAATACATAAGTTAAGTTAAGTAGTACGCTAGTGTACTACGTACGAATGAACTCTCTTCCCTTCCATCCTTCCTCCCTCCCTCCTCCTCTGCACATGCCACCATTAGCTGCTACTGTATTGTCTGTCTCGAACATGAGAACTAAATCAAAACCACATTTTATTTTATATCACAGGAATACTTATATATTATATTTTGTGTGTGTGTGTGTGTATGTCTCTATAGCAATTAAAACATGTTTTTCTATTGTTATCAGCACTAATAAGGGAGTTTTTTAGAGAGCCGGAATGGATTAATTTTTTTCTGTTATTTCTTATGGGAAAACATGATTTGAGATACAAACACCTCTAGGTTTCACTGTAAAGCCAGGTACAAAAAGTATAAAAAGGGGAATTCACAACGACATACTGTCTGCACAGCGATCTCTGGGAGACGACCTGAAGGCTTCAACTGATATCACAACATCAACCGTAAGACATAAATGTTTCTCTTCAGACCCTCTGTTTTGACTGCCATGAAAGTAATTCATTCTATTGGTGTCTGGACAAACCGCAGAGCAGTGTTGTATAAATGTATAGATTTACAAACATTTCAGTAAATGTCCCAGAGTTGGTCAGAAAAAAAAATAGAAATAAAACTAACAAAAGGATGAAAAATACATGATAAAGAGTGAAAGAGCGAAAGATTAACACATTATAAAAGTAAGAACAGTTAAAATATCCAGACATAAAACAGAATAGTACAAATGAAAAGTACAAAAAATAAATACAAACATATTGTTTGTGAAAGTGAAAATTAGTAATACACATAAAAAAACAACTGTATAAAAAACACCACTTCCTTAGGGAGCATGTTTTTTTAATTCTCTCTATCATTATTTAGGATATCTAGACATTTATTCTTTTAAGATAAGATCAGATAGAGACAAATCATTCATTCGTGTCACAGTAGGGGGAATTCAAAATACATTCATACATAGTAAATTGCATTCAAATATTTTATTTGTAAAGTGTTCGTTAATCATTAATTCTTAATTAATCATTAATTCTTCTACTGACTGTTCTCATTGCTTATCTTGAGATTTGTTTGGTGATAAAACAGGCAAAATTTTTTTTTTTCATTGTCACTTCCACTTTACTGACCACCTGAGGATCAACAGCTTTCAGATCAAATCCAATTTTAAAAAGTAAAAGAAAAACATTACACTCATTCAATACAACTAGTGAAAGCACTCTTTGAACCCAACTGTTTGCCAAACTCGCTCCATTTCCCACAGAGGAAATTAATGTCTCTATGTCAGACACAGATAACTATTGTCTTAGAGCTTATTGTGACATGAATAATCTGTGAACTGGCTCAGAGCTGTTAATTCCATTATAACATAATCATTTTATTTTTGGCCATCCAACTCTCAATATCTCATTCACTCGTGAGAGTTTTTGCTGCGCTCTACCGCCATCATCAGTCAGGATTAATGAGATGTTAATCTGAAAACCACTCTGTCTGAGGGAAGAAGGCGTCAGGTTTGGGTTTCATTCAAGGGTCAGAAAAAAGAAGACATCATAACCTTCTGTTCTGTTCCCTACAGTAACTGCACGCTATTTTCATTGTCCCAATGTATTGTGTAAATTACATTTATAAATGTAGCGCCCACATAAATTTAACAGTCGGATGTTCACTGCACTTTCTGCTAACAAGACAGTTGAAGTCTCACTTTATAGCTCACTATAGAGTAAATTACATGGTGGCTTTTATATAGACAGTAGTGAAGAAGAATGAGGAGGAAGAGGAAGAGGGATTCAAGGATTGCTACAAAATGAACCTGCTTTTGTTTGACGCATGTCATTTTCCACACGTGAAACTCGATACCATCAGACTATCTTCGTATGAAGTGAATGTGAATGATTGTTACACGAAAAATATATTTCACAATAGTAATACAGCAGACATTTTTGTGTGGATGTTTGAAGTTATGAATTGCAGCAAGGTCTTTAGCTGCAGCCATCTCTGGGCTGGATGCCAGCACAAGAGAGGATTTTTATGCTTTTTATGCAAGTGTTAGCTTTCCACACTGCCACAGAATGCTGAAAGTGAGCAGCCAACACAAGTGAGACCCAACTTAAAGGAAACAAGTGTGTGCAGAGGAGGGAAAATGATATGAGCAGGTAGGGGGCAGAAATTGAGTTCATGCTGGCACAGAACTTCAAACAGCAGACTGAATGAAGAAATGGCAGTGGTCTCTCTGTTTGTAGTTAGAAACAACTACAGATGTGCAAAACCTGTATATTCTTGATAACTATTTTACTAATTAGTTCTTTATTATCCTTGTCAATCAGGAGAGCAGGATTCCAAAAAGTTCTGATGTAAAATGTGACAGAAAACATCAACCCAACTAAATTAATTTATTTTTTTCAAAAACCTATTGTTGATATCAGTCTAGGTTAACACTCTCCTCTTTTCATTTTTAAACACAAGACATATTCAGGCATGACAGCATGACATCTACAGTACACCTACCTGCAGGTCCCTGTTCACCAGGCACCCCCTGAGTGGGACCAGCCCCCATTAGTAATGAAGTCTCTGGTGCAGTTTCCCCTTTAACCTGAATAGCTCGATGTGATATGGAGGACAGAGAGGTCAGCAACTGGACCTGAGACAGGAAGAAATAAAAGAAGGGACATTTAACATTCATTACTTTCATTTTAAATTGAAATGTGTTACTTTTATTTCTATTTCTCCAGGGTGTTTTAGGTCATTTTTGCTCCTGTGAAATACGTGTTGGTGTCTTTTCAAATAACTACAGTCTGATTACTGATTTTGAAAATAAAAAAAACACTTCATGTTCAGGATATTTTTTGTAAAAATTATATTTCATTAAATATGAACAAATAATAAATATCTAATATACTTGTATTTCTTTGCATGAAGGTTATGATTGTACTGGCCGGCCCACTTGACATCTAATTAGGTTGTATGTGGCCCATGAACCAAAATGAGTGTCTATGATACACTTGCTTAAGAATTCTTGTCGCTCTGACTGACATAACTTTTAGCTTTAATCCAAGGTAATATTTCTTTTTGGCTTACAATAAAAATTCTTGGCTAACTTATGGCAATTTCTTACATTTTGGCTACATTTTGTTTTCTGGCCCAAACTGAACTGACCTGTTCCTAAATCATGCGCTAATCTGCTGCTACTCAACGACAGAATTGACCTTAGCTGTTACCTTGGTCTCCAACGAATTCAGTCTGTCGCTCAGAGCTGTGATACGGCTGCAGTTTAGACAGTCTGAAAAAGATTAGAAATATAATCTTGTAACCTCTCCAACTGTACTTCCTGGAGAAACCAGTAAGAAGTTCACAGATCTTACTGGAGAGTGGTTCACTGGTGCGTGCAGGCTGCCGACGGAGCGAGGATGGTTTCCTCACTGCTTCCTGAGCCACCAGCTGGTTTTCTGCATCTGCAACAGAAGACAAAAAGACATAAGAGATAATTAGTGCAACTTGCTTTTAATCTAACAAACCAAGGAAGAAGTGATTATTTGTCATATGATAATTTTTTTCTTGTTCTCTTTGGACCGTACACTTACAACTGGATAGATTGAATTATATTTATCTACGCAAAACAACAAAAATATATTTTTTATTCCTGAGTTGCTGTTATTTTAATTTACTTTGGTATTTGCTCACATATTGTCTCCTGCTGTGATGCTAAAAATTCCATGTGGTGGGTCAAAGAAAAGTGTTTTCTAATCTTCATCCCAGTACAGTTACAGTGACTGGACAGCAGTCAGCTACAAAGACAACTGGGTCAGAATAAAAAGAGACAAAAGAAAATATTTGTCTCAACAGACTTGACTTGTTAAATGTACTATCATGCCATCACTGCAGTGTAATACAACTTAGAGTACGAGCGCTGTTTCACAAGATTTCTCCCCCGCACAGTTTTTGACAGTGAGTTGCTTCTTGGGATTACGTCATGAAAAGACTACAGAAGGTTAACACGGTTTAGTGAGTGAAATGGAAATTATTTGCACATTTGGTTTGTCGTACATTTCCAAGAGACATATTTTGCACATCCAGCATCTTTCCAATGTGCTTTCCTTTAACCTTGTTACTTCAGCCAGTGTAAAATCACAAGTTCCTGGGAGAGAGGGCGTGTCAAGACAAACAATAGTTTCCTTGTGAAGAGAGAATGGGCAGACTTGGCTCACATTCAGTATTGCCTTCACTTTATGAAGTGTGGGAGCTTGTGTCCCTGGACTGTGGATGTGTGGAATGGGCAGACCTCAGTGGAAATGCTAGACTGACTCCTTTGTCTGGCCTGGCCTGGCTCTGGTCAGCTCAGGTGCTCCTGAGGCAGACAAGAGGTTGGGATTCAGCACCTCATTAGCCTCCAGGTCGCATGAACTTCTATTCAGCAGCCACAGACGCCACAGTTGATGCCAAGTTTGACACTAATGTCATGAAATGTCTCCTGCAGCACTAAGATACAGCGGGAGAATCCGATTCTTCTCCGACAGCCTCCTGTTGTGCCATCACATGGCACGATCTCGCTCTTTTGCCACAGACTAAAAGAACGAGGGAAAATTGAGATCTCATTGTCCTCAAGGAAAAACAAACATTTGAAAACTTAACACAGGAAAGAACAATAGACTGAGTGATTACTCAAGGAGCAAGGAGTGAGAGTGAGGGTGAAGGAGGAGGATGAAGAGTTGATAAACCACATGATTCTGGGTAAGCTGAGAGCACTCCAGTGATTCACCGTCCTCTGAATATGGGCTCATGATTTCACTGGGTTTTTCTCAGAGGATTTAGAGTGCGGACGGATTAAAACCATGTAAGAGAGTTAAATAGTATATACTTATGGTTGTAGAGAACACTTGCATGTTTCAATAACAATGTAAACCTTTCACACAGAAGAAGAAACACACATGTTGGCCTGTTTTTCATCTGTGTTCTAACTCTGTCCACAGGAAAGTGTCAGAGAACGAGGGCAAAATTTTATGTGCACACAAGTTTACCTATCCTCATGTTTTGATTTTTAAAAAACTGATTTAATTTCCAGGTACCAGCCACTCCCTCGTTATCCTCTATTTTATTTTAGGTTTCTGTTCACAGATCACAAATCAGATCCCCTAAAGGGAAATTCCAGTCCAAACACATAATTCTTCTAAAACTGTACAGATAATCTTAACACTACTTTTAGATATAAAATATTTATTAAAATATTATTAAACTATCCCTTTATACTGTAGGTCAGCTGTAAAAATGTTGGGCAGCAACATTCCTTTAAACTTAAAAACCCTTCCATTTTGTCCCATCAGGAGGAGAGTGAGAGGAAGAAAGCAAATACAGACCATGACCCCTGGCTGGCCTGGTAACGCCTTGGGAACCCCCCGGAAGAGCTGGAGAACGTGGCAGGGGAGAAGGAAGTCTCAGCTTCTCTGCTCGGACTGCTGCCCCTGTGACCTACCTTGGATGAGCAAGTTCTCTATATAAAACATTTAAAACCAAAAAGGCCTTTACACCACAGCAGTTTGTGTAGACAATTCTGTGGTGTTCCGATCATGTAGTGCATTAAGTGCGAAAGGTGACTCTGAATAGGAACTATAACCCTTTCTACAAAGGTTCCCTTGGGTGGGAAGGCTTTTACACACTTCCCACCCAACACCACCTTTTCTCCATTCTGACAAAAGAGAACATTTCAGTGCCAAGATCCCTCTGCTACACTCCTTACATTGAGTTAAGCCATAAGCCAACTGTGGCCCAGGAACAAGTGTCTCCCACACACACCTCTAACATAATCCCTGTCCCTGTCCTACAACAATAAATGTAAAATCCTGCAGCTCTGATCCTGGTTTTCTTCTCTGTCTTGACTACACGGTCTGCAGTGTGTGTTTTCACACATCCAGGATATGTTTGCGCAAGAAGTGAAGACCAAAGAGAACTTTGATTAAAGTTTTTTTCTCGTCCAATAACAACATCTTCACAGTTAATGAAGGCTCCCGATGGACACGCTTCATTGTCTCCACTCTTTGTTCTCAGTAGACTAATTGCCCCAGCTGAGAGTAGAAGGGTGGTGTCAAAGAAATGTGTGAATGTATTTGACCCTGTGCCCCGTGTTACACTGAGGCCTAATCAGTTACTCAGCCACAGCTCTTCATTAGAGAAATACTCCCACAGAGAGTTCAATGGGCCGAAAGAAGTCCCAGCATTAGCGCCGTCTCTCCTTCTCTCTCTTTTACTCTTTCTCTCTTATTCACACACACACACACACGCACACACACATAAAATCTGGATTCCAATTAAATGCCCAAACTGGTCCTTTAATCCTATTATATAGACTTCATGCAATAATGTTTATTAAAAAAGGAAAAGGAAGAAAATAAAAAGTCAAAGCAAGATAAAGGTTAGCATAACAGTTAGTTTAGGTTTAGGTTAGTTTCATTTCAAATTACTTCAGCCACAACACTGAGAATATAAGAAAAATATGAGTAGATGGAAGCATATATGAATACAAGCAGGTTTCTGTGGGAATGTGTTTAGAGGCAGTTATGAAAGAAGACCTGAGGGAGTGTTTCTGCTTAAGCTCATCATAAAGTGAACTGTATGTAAAAGTATTACTTGGCAGAAGAAAAATGGGTCTGACAGTGATGAGAAACCTCTGAGAAGTAATCAGATGTTGGAGGAGATCATCTGGATATGGAAAATCCTGCTTGTAAAGTCTGTGAGATTTTTTTTACATCATTCAGTAGCAACACAATACGGAGCCCCTAAAGGGACATGGGAAAAAAAGAAAAAAAGAAACATATCGGGTTCACGAAATACTTTCTCGTGCGCACAAGAAAGTATATCTGAGACATTTTGCCACACATACATACAGGGTAATACATTAAAAAAACAAAACACGTACGGTGGGGAAATCTAAGATACCGGCATGTCATGCTAACTTTGTCGTGATAACTTTCACGTAATTACGTGTTAAGTTAAATACACTGGTCCCTCTCCTGTCGCAGTCGTTGCGATAGGAGGGCACAACAACAGTGCCCTCCTGTGTCTAACTGAGGTACCCTACATTAATTAAATGCTCACCATATATACAGTACATATGTCACGCATGACATGCCGGTATCTTAGATCTCCCCACCGTACGTGTTTTGTTTTTTTAATGTATTACCCTGTATGTACTGTATGTGTGGCAAAATGTCTTAGATACACTCGTGCTCACAAGAAAGTATCTCGTTTGCACTAGAAAGTATCTTGTGAGCACGAGATACATTTCTTTTTTTCCTTTTTTTTCCCTATGTCCCATTAGGGGCTCCGTAACACAACAAGTGTGTGGAGTTTTGTTTTTACAAACACTGGCTGGCGAACTTGCTGACGACGCAAAGGACCATTTCACATCAACTCTATCGACATGGGTAACTGACCACCAGCCTGCAAAACCTAAAAGAACTCCCAGTGACACTGAAACACTAGAATTATGGCCCTGTGGAAGTATGCCTCCACCGACTACTGCTATTTCAGTACAAACATCTTGTCCAGACTTTTAAACATGCAGATGTTGACTTAGAAATAAAAGAAATATATAAAGTTCCAGAGGCCAAAAACATGATTTGTGAGGCTGCATTGACCTTGACCTCTTACCACAGCCCATTCAGATCCAAACACTTGATTTTTGTGTCCAAGTCAACATGTGTGCTTAACATATTCAAAGGAATTCTTGAGAAAAGACACCATTGAAGATAAAAATGGGGTCACCTTTGACCTTTGATGTTGTGCCTTTGATGTGCCAAAAAGCCTGTCCTTTGGTCATTGTGTCCAATTAAACAATAATGAAAAAAAATGGTAGAATTCTTTCATGATGTTTTTGATATTCCAGGAATTCGATGCATGTATGGGCAACTTGAAAAACCCTATGTTGTGGCTGACATTGGCAAAGAGGCATAGAGAATGAGACAATTCAGACGTGCTGTGAAACAAAGTTATGCCAAGATGGGAAACATACAGGGGAGGGGGAAACCCTGAAAACTCAATTGTACTGAAACCAATAGAAACACATTTTGGTCATGGGTTTCAAAAGAAGCATTGTGAATCTGGAAGTAGTTCAAATAAAGGGAGTCTTGATGTAAATCCTTTATTATTGATCTCTAGACCCCACTCGGAGATCAGCTGGTACCACCTGAGTGAGAATCAAACACATATGAAACACAATGGCTTGTGTGGTTTTTCATCCTGGGACTTAGCGATGATATTAATTCATGTGAACAGTCCAGCTAAACCCTAACCTCATTCTAATGTTTTTTGAGTGAAAAGAAATAGAATAAAATAAAACAGACTTTGTTGTCACACAGGGAAAATGCGTGAGGTCTTGTACACCAGTTGTAGAAAATCTGACCTTGAAACGTACACAAACTTGAGGTGAACCCAAAACTTGCGGTCTAGAACATGAGTAAGT